GACGAATGTATCTTTTCAAAATTATGTCACGTAAGCAAAAAACGCATCCATATTTTCATTTTTTTCGAGATTTAATTATCACATATATAATGATACGTGAAATGACCATCTCGCTCAGTTGGTAGAGCACAAGGTTCTTAACCTTAAGGTCGTGGGATCGAGTCTCATAGAGGACATTTCATAATTTGGAGGTCTCCTACGGAAGCTGCTCTCAACCTAGTGTTGGGGGCAGCCTACTATCTTACCTCCCCCTTACCCCATTACAGATGGGAACAAGGGACATCCATTTATATATAACGATACGTATGATCATATTTGTCTTAAAATATGACATTTTCATTAATAATTTTTTTGAATAAATTATATTCATAAATAATAAAAGTAACATATTTGAATAATTAAAACCCATTTTTTTCCTGCACAATGATTTTTATTGGAATGGATGTAATCCAAAAAATTATAATCAAATTAATATGAATGATAAAATATAATTATTTCTTGTAGTATGATATTAACCCTAATTACAATTCCGTTCAATGTAATATGATGTGAGCATGTGATGATAAAGATAAGGTTAAATTACGCGTTTAGTACTTGAACTATAAGTTTTAGTTTGTTTTAGTATCTACTTTCATTTTTTTTAAATCGTACTTAAAGTTTAATTTTTGTTTCATTTTAATATACCTATTCAAAATTTAACGTTAAAATTTTGAAAAATTTGAAAGTTTAGTTGTTAAAATGTATTAAAATTAATAGTTTAAATACTAAATACGTAGAATTTTAAGAATACGACCGATCTCACCCGCCTCGCCTAGGTCCTTCCTGAGCTAGAAAATTAGAATAATAATACATATACATACGTGCATTTATGGGTTTTATGAGTTGGAAAGCCCCTGAAATGAGTAATATTTTTAATCAATGGGTACATATTTTTCGTGGATCTTTGTTTAATTATATAAGTAATGTTTAAGTTGAGTTGTAATTAAGTATCATACATATAATGCAATGATACAAAGGTGGAAAAACAAGGCTGGTCATATTAACCGGATAAAATATACAAATAGTCCCTTGATTATAAAATATTGTTTTATTAAATCATTTGATTATTAAAAATTACAAAATATTTATCTGATTATAGAATGTTATTTTGTTAAGTCTCTTGACTATTAAAATTTATAAAATAATCTATTAACTATTCATTATGTTCAAAGCTTATCATTTCTCGTTAAACAATTGACGGTTGTTTAAGCTGGACGTCAATATGATGATTGCGATATGATAGTCATTTGAGATTCTGGAATCATAATTTATCATATTACAATCAACATGTTAATGTTCCACTTAAAAAACTTTCATTTTTAACGGAAAATTACGAGTTTGAAACATAACAAATAGTCAGGTGATCATATTGCACATTTTAATAGTCGACGAACTTAATAAAATAATATTATACAATATGATGACCATTTTATAACTTTTAATAGTTAAAAACTTAATAAAATAATATTTTATAGTCGGATAACCATTTTATAACTTTTAATAGCTGAAGTAATTAATAATACGCTACGCTTGATAAAATTCTCCAATAGCATGATATGATATTTCCAACTTGTAATTATTCGTTAGATTATTCATGCAATTATGAAATTATGAAATTATGAAATTATAAAATAAAAGAAAATTATATTATGCGAGACAAAATTATGTACTAGGTGCATCCATGTTTTTGCCATATGGATGGAGAGTGTTGTATATTAAAATTAAAAATAAAAATAAATAATACTCGAATTTTGTTTTAATCTATTTTTTTAAATTTGATTTGCTTTTTATGTTTAATTTTTATTTTATTTTATTTTGTAACTAAGATAAAGTTAGTTAAATATAAAAGGGTAAATTACATGTTTAGTACCTAAACTTTCAATTTTGATATATTTTAGTACCTAAACTTTCATTTTTTTTCAAAATCATACCTAAAGTTTAATTTTTTGTTTTATTTTAGTACCCCACCATTCAAAACTTAATAGACAGGCTCGTCAGCCACCGCGTCTACTGTTGCGTGTTGTGAGTACTATATATTAGACGCAATTTATGTGCAAGTATACACAATCGCACAAGTAATACAGTGATGAGTGAGTATCGTATCCATATGGATTGGAGGGATCTTGAGTAAAGTTTATGCATTATTCTAAAGTAACTAAGTATAGCTAATGGTATTCACAAATGATTATGCTGAGTCAAATGAAATGTGTATGTATGGTGGAAGGATAATAATGTGAATGAGTAACAAATAGAAATGTCACGGCGAGATGATAGTTTATGTCATGGCAAAATGGATGGAAGTTCCATGGCAAAGGAAATGTTTGCAATATAGTCAAGTGAAAATGTCAAGGTAAAACAGAATGTAAACACAAGAATTAAGTAAAATGACTTGGTAATCCTCACACAATAGGCTACTACGAGAATGAATGATAGGGTCACTTAGGAAACTTGAATATTATATTTGAGGATTATCTAACATTCTAATGCCTTACTTGTTCGACAAAGTTTACTAAAAGTGTTATACGCTATCTCTAATCAAAGAACCTAACAGAATAAGATGTCACGGCATCTCCTCCCGGCTTGAGCATTGACACAATAAACCATTGATTACGCTTTACCCCTCTTAGTCGTTGAAATCCTAACTTAGTTTCTCTCGAATACTAAATAATTAGTGACTACGATTCTCTCGAACACCTAGTCTTTACTTAAAAAATGAATACTCTCATGCCTCCTACAATCTCAAAAGATTAAGAACTCATAAGCAAAACAAGTAATAAGCAAAAGAAAACAACAATCATCCATTCAAAATAAAGATCAAATATCCATCATTAACCCCACTACATAAAGTTTAGTTCATGGTGGGTTCGAATAATCCATGAAATAATCCACGAGATTCACCCATTTCGTACAACCCAAAGATAATGAATGAAAAGAAAGCAAAAGGGTGGAGGAAAATCTTTCAACGCGCTGCCGGAGCTTCCTCGACCATCATGAACAACTTCAATGATGTTAGCTCCTCTCGGACATCATGCTCGCCATTCCCTCAAGCTCACCAATGGAGAAACACAATGGAAGGGATAATAAAAAGAAGAAAAAGAAAACTAAGAAAAATTTTCAGCTCACCAAACTCCCAAAATGAAAGAATGAAAAAGATGATGATAAATCCCCTCCCCAAGTGGCCTCATATTCTATAAATATCAAAGGAATGTATCAAATTTCCCATAGTACCCTAAGATCATTCCCTCCATGTAAATGTGAGTATAATAGGTGGCAGTGGGCCCTTTTAGGTGGTTAACAACAACAAAAACGTGTTGAATTACAACTGTCATTTGTGAAAATATCTTCTTTGTCTTTTTCTACGCCCAAAAATGCCAAGGCATTTCATTCTGCTTCATCAACTTGTTATGTCATGGCATCTTTCCTCACACACGTTTGCTCCTTATATCCTGTAAATCACAAACAAACAACCAAACCTTCCCCATAACATAGCACTTTCACAAACAACATGCCAAGATAAAACACATCCACCAAATGCAACTACATGATTCTAAATGCATCTAAAATGACTTATATGAGCCTTTAGACAATCAAAAACTTAAGTGAAAAGGCCTTAAATACAGTTTTTTTATGGAATTATCATCTACATTTATTAGCCGTCGCGTCTATCGATTGATGAAGCCCAAACTTACTAGCATGCACCTTTTCGACCCCTAAATATGATTTCAACATTTGTTTCACTAAAAAATGTCTCAATGTCCCCAAATCGACGATTAACTCTTAGAATTTTTCATCCTCCAATCTCTATCGTCAACCGTCTGATGGGCCTAAAACTGGACTATGGTTGTCGACTTGTCATTCTCTCATGGTCCACCATTCAGATTGATTTTTCGTCCATCAGAACTACGTCACGCAAGCCTGTGCGCTAAGTTTTTAACGACAGAATACTAAAAAAAAAATGCTAGGTATGATTTTGATTTTTTAAAGTTTAGGTATTAAAATGGACTAAAACTGATAGTTTGGATACTAAACATGTAATTTACCCAATATAAAATTATAAGTTATAAATAAATAATTTTATTTAAATAAAATTTGAAAAATGATATATCAAATAATAAAACTATTTAGTTATTAAAAATTTAAAATATCACATAAAAATATAATTTATATATCTTATTATATATTATATAATTTATATTTATATATTATTTATTTTTAAAAACAACGCATTACATTGATTAACTATATACATAATGTAGAGATTTATATAAAAATAGTTGATTAGCTTATTATTTCACAACAGGATTAAACAACCTAAATGGGGCTTAGTTTGAACAAGTGTCCAGACACTTGAAGACAACGATAGATAAATAATAGAGTAAATTATACGTTTAGTACCTAAATTATCATTTTTGATTCATTTTAATATTTAAACTTTTAATTTTTTCAAAATCATACCTAACGTTTAATTTTAGTTTTATTTTATTACCCCTCATTAAAAGTTTAACTTATTTAGTACTTAAACTATCAATTCTAGTCGTTTTAGTACCTAAATTTTCAATATTTTTCAAAACTTATCTTTAAATTTTGAACAAAGGTAAAAAAATGAAACAAAAACTAAAGTTTTGATGGAGGTGTATTAAAATGTAACAAAAATGAAATGTTAGATATGATTTTAAAACATATTAAAAGTTCAAATATTAAAATGAATTAAAACTAATAATTTATATATTAAACACATAATTTATCCAAATAATGATAATGAAAAAGAAAAATGCAGCAAAAGGCGGCATTGAAAACTGAGAAATGGAGTAAGAGGAGAGAGATAACGTTCTACGAAGGAAACGGCGAAGCTTTGCCACTTTTTTAGCGCAAATTCATTGCATTTGGGTTTTTTTTTAATGTGAATTGTCCCTTATACCCAAAGCTTATCTCCCTCCCTCTTGTTATCTAAAAGCCAATCCTTTTGCCAGACATCTTTCATTGCTCTTCCTTCACACTTTGCATTTTCCGTTCTCTCTCTCTCTCTCTCTCTCTTTTACCCTAGTTGATAGGGTTTCCATGTCCTTCTAGCTCCAATCCATCTCATGCATCTGTGTCTTCGAGCTACATACGTTGAAGTCTTGGTTTTCATCCTTGCTGGGTCTCTCCTTCTTCTTTCCTTGGAGGGTTTTTGGGCGGCGAACGGTGCAGATTTCACCTCCCGGGGTTTTTTTGAGCTGTACCCATGTCGAAGATCTTTCATTTTAGTGGTAAATTCTCCATCTTTGCTAGTTTTGTAGCTTAGGGTACTGATCTTTATTATTATCGTGATATAGTTGATGATTTTTCCAATCTTATTCTACAAAGAAGGGATTTTTTTTGTTTGGTACGTGGTCGAGTAGGAAAAGGTTGGATGAGCTACTAAGTTCCTTACTTAAGGGCAGGGTTCGATCCTGTATTTGAGAATGGAGCAAATTGGATTGCTAGAGCTCAATTCTGCTGTACTTGATCTTGATTAGTTGTTCAATTAATCGGATATCAGTGATTAATTCAAAAAATATTGGATTTTGATTCTTGGTTGTGAAATAGTTGATTCGGGTTGATCAAGGAGAAGAACTCAGTTGGCCTTGGGGTTTTTCTATTTGTTGATTTTGTTTCTTTAAAAACCCAAGGTTGTGAAGTAGTTCTAGTAATAGATCAGGCGCCCTTAGAACTAATCCCCTTTTTTCTCTCTTATAAATTGTCTTTGTTGTTTAATTTATAGGAGATTTTGATGTTATAGAGGAGTTGTGGGTGCTTTCTTTAGCCGGATCTGTTTGTGTTTTATGCTTCTTTCAAGTTGAGAACTATACAAGTGTTTTGGTTGTAGATTCGGATCTGTGGAGGTTTATATGCCTTTCTTTTCAGCTGTAGGTTGTTTGGTCTGAAATATATGGTTCTCTTGAGACTATTTCTAGGAAAATATTTAGGATTTGCCTTATGGGGCTCTGTGTGAAGCTTTGGAGTCAAAATTTTGGCCTCTTAGAAAATATTCATTGGTTCCTTTCAACATGTTAGATTACTCTGGTAGACTTAGCTGTTCTCATCAATTATTTTTCTTGGTTTTCAGGAACTGATGATTTTTTCCCCGGGGTTTCGATCTACCCAAACCCCAAGGAGTCTAGTCTTCTTTTGTCCCTTGGACGTCATGTGGATGTTTATTTTCCCTCTCGCAAGAGATCCCGCATTAGTGCTCCTTTTGTTTTCTCTGGAGAGATATTTGAGCAGAAGAGGCCATCAGTCGAGGTTCTCCCTGATGAATGCTTATTCGAGATCTTCAGACGGATACCTGGAGGCAAAGAGAGGAGTGCCTGCGCCTGTGTTTCCAAGCGCTGGCTTACACTTGTTAGCAACATCCGCAGAGATGAAATCAGTGACAACAAGACCACTGGAGCCTTGAATTTCAAGGGTGTTGATTCTGAGATTGAAGATCAGGATGTTGAGGGAGGTGGATATCTCTCTAGGAGTTTGGAAGGGAAGAAAGCAACAGATGTTAGACTTGCTGCTATTGCTGTTGGAACTGCTACTCGTGGAGGATTGGGCAAGCTCTTCATTAGAGGAAACAATTCCAGTCGTGGAGTGACCACTGTTGGTCTTAGAGCCATTTCACGTGGATGCCCTTCTCTAAGAGTTCTTTCCTTGTGGAATTTGTCTTCTGTTGGGGATGAAGGTCTGCATGTGATTGCTGATGGGTGTCACCAGCTACAGAAGCTCGACCTTTGCCAGTGTCCTGCTATCACTAATGAGTCTTTGCTAGCCATTTCAAAGGGCTGCCCTGATTTGACTGATCTGACCATTGAAGGTTGTGCAAACATTGGAAATGAAGGTATCCAGGCTGTAGCACGCTGCTGTCCAAATCTAAAGTTTATTTCAATCAAAGATTGCCCCCATGTTGGAGATCAAGGAATTGCAAGCCTGTTGACATCAGCTTCATATTCCCTCACAAAAGTAAAGCTTATGGCCTTGAACATCACCGATGTCTCTCTTGCCGTTATTGGACACTATGGCAAGGCAGTGACCGACCTTTCTCTCACTAGCCTTCCAAATGTCAGTGAGAAGGGATTCTGGGTAATGGGTAATGGGCATGGGTTACAGAAATTGAAGTCTTTCACTGTTAAAGCCTGCCTTGGAGTGACAGATCTCGGACTTGAAGCTGTTGGAAAGGGTTGCCCAAATTTGAAGCGGTTCTGCCTCAGCAAATGTGCTCTCTTGTCTGATAACGGGTTGGTGTCTTTTTCCAAAGCAGCGGGTTCACTAGAGAGCTTGGAACTGGAGGAGTGCCACAGGGTCACCCATTTTGGGTTTTTTGGTTCCCTTTTGAACTGTGGTCCAAAGTTCAAGGCTGTTTCTATTGTGAACTGCTTGGGTATTAGGGACCTAAACTTGCGATTGCCTCTATCCCGTTGTGAATCGCTTCGATCCCTGTCCATCCGTAACTGCCCTGGTTTTGGTGATGCTAACTTGGCTGCATTGGGGAAGTTGTGCCCTCAACTGCAAAATCTGGAGTTGTCTGGGCTTCATGGGATAACAGATGTTGGGTTTCTCCCATTGCTCGAGAGTTGCGAGGCTGGTTTGGTGAAGGTTAATCTCAATGATTGTCTCAATTTGAGTGACAAAGCTGTTTGCAAGATGGCTGATTCACATGGGTGGACACTAGAGATGCTTAATCTTGATGGTTGTTGTAAGCTCAGTGATGTCAGCTTGATTGCAATTGCAGAGAACTGTCAGTTGATCAGTGAGCTAGGCGTCTCCAAGTGTGCAATTACTGACTCGGGAATCATAGCTCTTGCACGTTCTAGCCTGATAAATCTGCAGATCCTATCCGTCGCCGGTTGCACTATGGTCTCAGACAAAAGCCTGCCATCAATTGGAAAATTGGGTCAGACCCTCTTGGGGTTAAACCTGCAGCAATGCAAGGGGGTCAGCAGTGGTGCAATCGACCTGCTTGTGGAACAGCTATGGAGGTGTGATATCCTTTTCTGAACAATATCGAAGTATGGGATTATCACCGACATGGGAAGAAGCTCAAGTATAGCCTTTGAGAGTAGCCAGAAGTTTTACGTAGTTTTTGGGTCCATCAGCTATGGGTCTTCCTTGGTCCCGAGCTCAGTCAATCAGTCCCGTTTTTCAGGAATACGGCCATTGTCCTTAACTTTTTTGCAGGTTTCGTTTCATCAGAGACCTGTTACCAGGTTTTGACATCCCAATATAGGGTGTAGGTTTCTTCATGGCCAAACTTACCTGAGAATATTGTTGCTGCTGGGTTCCGGCTCTTAGGGTATCTTTTCTTTATTTTTAAAAGGTTTCAGCTTGCTGGGTTTTTGCTTAGCTTTGTTCATTTCTGCTCGGGCTAAGCTTGTCGTACTGTTATGGTCCTGGTCCGACTCTCGCGTGATGGTCGGGTCCTTTTGTTTTCCTCAATGGCGGATCGAAAACCTTGAGTCATCTAGTTTTATGGTTTGCATTCGGCGGTTTGGAGCAAGTTTGGTGTCCAAGCTTTCATGGGCTTTGGCTATGGCAGCCAGTTTATATAGTCTGCCATGACAACTCTTGAGGTTGTTTTTTTTTCCTTGTTTTTACCAAAGCCCTACTGTTGCTGGTTCCATTTGCTCTGAACTTGTAGTTTGTGACCAATCTCAACTCAAATCCGCCATTGGAAGTCTTGTATGTTTCTGTTGCCATAATCAATAAGAACTGTGCATGTAAGAATTGATTATTGCTCCTTCCATTTCAAGTTCCTAAGAATTCTGCTGTTTGTGAATGTTCCGTTCCAACTTAGTGCTCCAAGCATTTTTTAAAGGAAAAAAAAAAGCTATAAATTTATTTAGATGATGATCACAAGGCAACAAAAGAAGAAAAAATCTAGTGTTGTTGGAGACAGCATCCAATAAAGTGGAAACACAATCTTTCTTTTGTCAACTGTAATTCAGCATCTCAATTATTTCAAAGGTGGATTCCAGCTAGTCTTTAAATACTCGATTGCATCATCTCCAAATGCTACTACTGTTTGAGATAAATAAACGTAAAATAACTGTTGATTGATCATCTTTGTCGAGTCATAAGAGAATAAGGGAAAGCCCCCTTACCTGGGGCCTTATATCGTGCTCCCAATGATTTAATTTGTGTAAACTACGTATTCGGCATTTAAATTATAAGTTTTAATCCGTTTTAATACCTAAACTTTCAATTTATTTTTATAAATTAATGTTAAATTTTGAATGAGTGTATTAAAATGAAATAAAAACTAAATTTTAGGTATGAATTTGAAAAAAATGAAAGTTTGATATTAAAAATCTGAACCATCCTTCAAATAAATAATTGGATTCAATGCATTTGTAACTTGGGAAAAGTCTGGTTCCAAATAGTCTCTATTACTTAATTACCTCAGAAATTATGTAAAATATCCACTTCATATATTCAATAAGCCATCCTAAAAAAATCATAAAATAGGACAAATAGGCAGTAAAGGAGGATTGACATACAGTTGGGGGAAACAAGAATGAATGAATCCGAACAAAAAGCCCAGCAACCTCTGCAAAGCTGACAGAATATTGGTGAAAACATCATTAACACATAATGATATAGAATTTTCATGCCTTGATTCATCAATTAAATTCAGTCTTTAGACACACATCCTTGCTTACGCAGAACGAGATCGAGAGCTTTGTATATGAACATCCGCTTCAAATCACTGCCAATGCTTAGTGATCACTGCCTCCTGCTGTTGGAGTGGAGATAATTCCTTGTTTTTCACTTCAGATGAGGCTGAGGCTATCTTTCCCTCGGTAGTCGCCTTGGATGCAGACTCTGATAGCTGATTGGATGCCTCGGATATATTTTCCTCATTTGTTGCACTGGGCAAACTAGTCTTCTGAGAAGTCAGTTCGGGAAGTGATTTCCGTTGCGGCTTTTTCAAATGGACAAGAGAAATTACTTTGGCAGAGATAGTCGGAGATGCTTTCTCATCCAAACTTAAACGGCCAAAATGAAGGCCACTATTACTGTTGCCATCGGAATCCAAAGAAGTGCTTTTTCTTCTATCGAGCTTTGGAGATTTAGCTCTTGTTGATGGTATCTGTGCATCAAGGCAATAGAAAATAGACCAATGTAGAGAATATATTTTGAAACTCAATGCCTGCCATATCTGTGCACCTGTGCATGTTCAGAATTTCAGCCCAACCTTACCCTACCCAAAAGAAAAAAAGAATAAAGAGCAAAATGATGAATAAACATGCCATTGTATTAAAATTGAAATACTGATAAATTTTCTCATGCAAATTTCTATATTGAAATGATCATCTAGTTTTTTATTCATCATAAAATTCAACTAACCTTCATTAATTCCACCTTCGGAGGTGGAGGTTCCTGATAGAAGCTTGGCAATGGAGTCGCTTTAAAGTTCAAACTCTTCCTAAACGTTTTAATCTCAGCTTCCTGAGTTTCCTGGAAGAAAATTGAAGTATTATTATGACAAAAAAGATTGAATTCTGGATCATAAACCATCTGATTCACAAAATAACACCTTGGACTTAGCTTGAAAGTTGCTCTTTTCTACCTCCCTTGCATGAATCTTCTCCTCAAGTTTAGTGTAGAACTGCACAGTACAATGTTGAAGAGTTAAAAAAATTTGCTGCAAGAATAAACAATATATCTTTAGAACATAAAGCACCAACCTCTTTCCTTTTCTCACCCCGTTCATCACACTTGAAACTGAAATCATAATTTGGAAGAGTACCAACCCTATGAGGTTTGGCATCAGTTGAAGTGAGACTTCTATGAAGCAATTAAGGATGAAAATAAACATGGTGAATTGAGACATAGAAGCCTATAGAATGCAGTGCAAATGAAAATCAATTGTCAACATGTTTCAATCCACAGTCCCAGTCAGAAAGTAAAAAAAAAATCAAACTATAATGGATACGAGGACTCTGAGCCTGTTTCAGATTTAGTAATAGGCCCTTTCTTGAGAGGTTTCAGCTTGGATCTCTCCCTGTAATTCAATAGAACAGTTAAAAAATGTCGGCAGAAAAATCTGTCATCATCTAGCAATAATGTTTCATGGGAAAATATACAGATAAAAGGTAACCACTATGAAGTTCCTTATTCAGTTGGTTAACAAAATCAATAACAAGGGTAAAAAAAGCTGCGTGAAAGAAATGTAAAGCTAAGAAATTGAAACATTAGCATGATTAGCACATACGTAGTTCCTTCAGAGAAAGCTGCATCAGAGACGTTAGAATGCTGTCAAGAGAGAAGAAAAGAAATGTTCAAAAGGCAGGAACAATGATTGAAAAAAGAAAGAGGAAAACAATCAGAAAATGCTAACAACTCTAACCTTAGATGCATTGGCTTGTCTTTCATTAAATAGTTAATTTTTATGAGGAGGTTTAGGGCCTGAATTTGTAGCAACAGAATCGCCATTAGAAGATGTTAATGTCATCTCTGTACCTTTTCCATCTTTCTTTTTCTTCTCCAAAGCTGAATGAACATTTTTGGGACCCAATGGCTTCTCATTCTTGGTCTTTCCTTGAACCTTCTGAGGTTTGGATTGATTCACATTATCCTTTATTTCTCCTTCCTACAATTACAGAAACATTCATGAATATGATATCAAGCTAATGGTAATTAATAAAAGCACTTGCATAATCAGACTTTTAATACCTCGGAATCAATCAAGCCTCTGCTTTCCACCAAGTCACTGGATCGTTCTGTAGCTTCCTCGGTTGCTCCATTGTCATCTGCGCCATTCTGCAAATAAATTTCATTGATTTCCTCAGCATTCCCAGTCACATTATCTGAACCACTATCATCCCCAGGCACCCAAAGTTGCGGATGAACACCATTTTGCTGGGCAGTTTCATGCCCAAACGAAGACAAATTATTTTCTGAATCCATCACACTGTCGAAAACAAAACAAACAAAAATGTAAGCCTAATTTAAAATTTCTCAAACCCTTAGAGCAGTACAAATTCAACATTTGTTAATTTTAATTGGTCTATGTTACCCACGTCCATCAACTCCAAACTCATAAAGGATAAATATGGCTCCAATTGGTTAACGCTTTTCCTTTTCCAAGAGATCAAATATGGATATTCGTAAAATACCTAACGCGTCTATAATATTCATTGTTGCTATAACATTCAAGGAAAACGCGCAAAAAGAACACTAAATTAGATCTATCACTTGCAAATAAATTTGTAAACGAAACGCGAAATGAAAACACGCTTTGAATTTTTAGGCGGAATCGAAATTGGCTTTAAGCCAAAGCTCCGACGAACACAGAGATCTCCAACGCCACCAAAAAACTAACACGTTCCACTTCACTTAATCTACTTTTACCAAATAACACTAAATCCCTCGGTCTTTCTTAGGAAACAAACAAACAAGAAATTCAGAAAACAAAAGAAAGTTGGACAGGTTTTCTTTCTTACCTCGTAAAGAGAGCAATGAATCAATCCATGAAGCCAAGAAGAAGAGTAACGAGAGAAATTAGTAAAAGAAAATGCCAAGGTTCTGAGCAAAAGATAGTAAATGTTAAAGGATCTAAGCCCCTCAGTCTTTCTCCACTGTTTCAAATCCATTTCAAAGGGAAAATCGCACTCCCCCGTTAAAATACGTTAATTATAGCCAATTATAGTTAAATTCTTGAATAAAAAAATATTATAGTTAAACTCTTGGCTTAACTAACATAATCAGCTAAATGATTAAGCCAAGTTAGGCCTATGAACGAACCGGACGACGAATCAAAGTATGTTTATGTTCGTTCGTTTAACTTTAATCGAAAAAACTAACAAACCAAACAATTAAATGAACATAATTTCTTGTTCAGTTCGTTCATTAAAAAATTTAGTTTGTTCGTGTTCGTTCATGTCCGTTCGTTTAAATGATAAATAAACACAAATGAACAAATGTAAATAAACATAAATGAACGAACATAAAATTATTTGAGTTTATATTTGAGAATAGATTTTTTATTTTCAAATAATTTTAGGATTTATATTTTTTAATTGATTTGAGTATTTTTCTTATCTAGGTTTAAAATTAATTAAATTAAAAAATATTAATGGGTTTAAGCTTAAAATTTATTAAATCCTAATATTTCAACGGGTCTTGAGAACATAAACGAACATAAATGAACAAACATAAACGAACAGATTATCGAACATTCACAAATAGAAATGTATAAGCGAACCTTTTGTTTGTGTTCTTCCATTTAATTAAACGAACATAAAATCTTGTTCATGTTCGCTCGTCCAAGTGACCTCTGTGTTAAAGGAATTGTTGTTATTCCTGAAGATCCGGGTTCGAGCATTATAGATGTAAGGGTATGAGCGGTCAATATCGAAAGGTTTAGAATTATCTTCAAATAAATGTTGTCTTATACTTACCCCAGATTAATCAAAAATAAATAAATAAACGAATATAAACGAACTTCCCGCTGAACAGTTCACGAGCGGTTCATTAAACATTCAATTCGTTTACATGCCTAATCCAGGTTTAAGACAAGATAAAGGTTTCGGTTATGCTTGGTTTTTCTAATTAATAATAGGTAAAATGACATAAGAGGCCCCCTGAACTTTAAAAAAGAAAACCCAATGTGCTCATATCCTTCTTTTTAGATCAATTTAGCGTTCAACTTGGCCCTCCAACTCACAAAATAACTCAATGTGACCTTTTGACTCTGTTTAATATTGTTATAAATGGGAAAATTACACATTCATCCTCAACTATCTTGTTTCTCCCATTTTAATCATGAAATTTTAAAATTTTCAATTTTAATCCCTCAATTTGCTCATACTTTAATCGTCATGACTTATTTTATTAATATTTATGTATGATGTGACATTCATTATTCTTATTTTATTAATATATGATTAAAATAATATTAATTAAATTAAAATTTCAAAATTGTGATTAAATTAATTACCATAAAATTTTTAAATCAAATGGGGTTTATTTAAACTTTTCTATGAAAAGTTCATCTTGTTATTCATCAGTTTTTGGAAAACCCAATTCCCGGTTATATTTCGTCGCGTCAACCGCCGCTCACCAATAACTGAGAAGAGAAAGTTAGTCTTTTATGAGAGTTTATAATTTTGAAATTTTAATTTAATTATAATTTTAGAAATATTTTTTATTTAAATATACTTTTAAAATTTTAATTTAATTAATATTATTTTATTTTTATATTAATAAAATACGAATAATGAATGCCACATCATACACAAATATTGATAAAATAAGTCATGATGATTAAAATATGAGCAATTTGAGGGATCAAAATTGAAAACTTTTTAAGTTTAGTGACTAAAATGGGAGAAATAAGATAGTTGAGTGATGAATGATGTAATTTTTCTATTTATAATATCTTTAAACAGAGTTAAAGCGTCACATTGAGTTATTTTGTGAGTTGGAGGGCCAAATTAAACACTAAAAATATGATGTTGGGATGCTTGATGTGTCACATCAACACAAAGTAACGGAGATGTTGGTCAACGACGGAAAACGTTAGTCAAAGGGCTATATTGAATTCTTTTTTCGAGTTTGAGGGTCATATTATTATAAAAAAGGACATAACCACATTGTTTTTTTTAAGTTTAGGGGACTCTGAAGTCTTTTTGCCTTAATAATATTAGGGTAAAGTACAAGGTTAGTACTTAAACTATCAATTTTAGTTCGTTTTAATACATAAACTTTTTTTTAACATCATACCTAAAATTTAGTTTTTGTTTCATTTTAGTATCTCATTCATAATCTAACGTTAATTTTTGGGAAAATTTTGAAAATTTTGATGTTAAAACGGACTAAAACTGATAGTTTATGTACCAATTGAGTTAAATTTTTAAAATGAAACAAAAACTAAACGCTAGGTATAATTTTAAAGAAATTGAAAGTTTAGGTATTAAAACGAATCAAAACTTATAGTGTAGATACTACATGCGTATTTGATCCATAATATTATTATCAATTATAATTATTTTCAGTCACCATTGTCAGCGGCCAAACTAGGAGAGTTGTAATTACCACTAACTCACTAAGGCTTAATTTGTATTACTATTATAGCTAATGGCTGATATTACAAAAAAAAAATCGAATGATAATCTAATAAATATACAGGCGGTTTAAGTGATTGTTATCTTGGACCAGAAAGCCGTACAGATGAAAGGTAAGCATCACTATTGCAGTCCGATGGTGCTGAGGCCGAGGCCGAGGCCGTTGATGTCCCGTCTCCGCTCATTGTCATCGATTTGAAGAAACCCGAATAAAGACGAGATCCTAATGGAGACGACATTGGTGGGTTAGGGACTGGAGAGAGACCTTCTAGCATTTGAATGACTTTTGTCATTGATGGCCTTAGATGCATGTCTTCTTGTATGCACCATAATGCAACTTTGATTGCAGTATAAACTCTCTCGTCTTCGCCTTCTATGGTCAGCCTCGAATCGAGGATGTCCGTCAGCTTCCCTTCGTCTAACATCTTGAAAGCATAGGATGGAAAGTAAGATTTCTCAGAAGATTCTCCCGGATCGAAGTTTTTTCTTCCGCCGATGATTTCTAGTAGCAGCATTCCGTAGCTGTAGACGTCGCTCTTCTCTGATATGGCGTAGTTCGTGATCCACTCAGGTGCAAGGTACCCTCTGGTGCCCCTTAGAGTGGTGAAAACATGGCTTTGCTCTCGAGTCATTAGCTTTGCCAGGCCGAAATCGGAGACTTTGGCTACAAAATTGTCGTCGAGCAATACGTTCTCTGGCTTAATGTCGCAATGCACAATCTTTGCATCGCAGTCTTCATGGAGATAAGCTAGCCCTTTAGCTGTTCCTATTGCAATATTGAATCTTGTTCCCCAATCCACCAGGGCATCTCCGGTGTTTCTCTTGAATATCCATCTTTCTAAGGAACCATTCGCCATGTATTCATAAGCAAGAAGTCGATAGTTTCCTTCGGCACAAAAGCCTTTCAATCTCACCAGGTGGACGTGATGGATACTGCCGATGATACCAACTTCGGCTCGGAATTCTTTCTTCCCTTGACCGATGTTTTCCAGTTTCTTCACGGCAACTTGAGTTCCATCCGGAAGAGTTCCTCTGTATACCGAGCCAAACCCTCCATGCCCGAGCTTAACCGAGAAGTTATCCGTGGCAGTCCGAAGATTGTCGTAAGTGAAACGAGTAGGCATCCCGGTTAACGTCTCCAAGAAGTTATCCTCCTCCGACGTATCATCAGGAGATCCCGGCATATTCTTCTTTTTATTGTAGTATCGATGTGCCACAAAGATTAAGCCCAAAATGACTAGAACCGTAGCAACAGCTATAATCACGACATATGGGAAGCTTTTTTTGCCGCCTCCATCCCCCGCAGCACCATTTCCATTGCTCGACATTTTGACGAAAACAACTAAACCAGGTCCCTGTTTAGAGTTTTGGAAGCTGCCAATCTGGTCGAAAAGGAAGCAATTCCTCGAGCTGTTATCGTACAACATAGCCACACAAGAACAACGATTCGAGCAGGATTCTTTGCAACCACTCATATCGGTTTTCGACGATGGGGAAACGTAGTTGACCGCAGAATAATCGAGCCCAGTTCCGGCATCTACAAGGCTTACAGATTCCCTTCCCAGACTACAAGGAGAGTCGATACCTGTTCCGCATGAGCCGGATCTAAGCGTCAGCGGTGACGGACACACGCAAGAAGTTCCTGAACAAAGATGATATGGGTCACAAGCTTTTGGTATGCTACAAGGATCATCCGGGATCTTAATCGATTCCGGGGATCCTTTAGCATGGAGATTGAAGAAAAATATAAAGCCATCACTCCCCAACACTGCAATCCAAGTGGCATTTGCATCAGCAGGATCCGAGATTCTAAACTGCCACAACAACGCTTTGTTATCATCAAACAAACTCCATGAATTTCCATCAATGGATGCTGAAATGACCTTTCCACCATTTTTATTAATGTTCCTCCGTGTGTCCTTCCCCATGGACCAATACGGCTGCGGAGTCGAGTAACCGACCGAAAGCATCATGTCGCCGGACAAGATTTCGAGAATATAGCTAAAGTTGCCGGAGTTAGTAGGCTCGCTCACAAGTCTCATTCCTTGTCTAAATTCTTGGTTCGAAATAAGGGTATTGGAAGGATGAGCAAAACTCTGCCAGATTAACGTGCCATCATTCCCTTGCACAACCAAGTTCCCTGAATCCAACAACACCATCGCTGAAACTCCTTTGCCGCCGGTATTCGTCGTCCAAACGACTTTCCTTCCTTTCCGCAACGACACGTCGCCGTTCTTGTCGAACTCGAAGGGATCCGACATCGAAACAGGGGAATTCCTGTTAGCAGTCCAGATCACTTGTTTGGTCTCCATGTGCATCACAACAAGGACAAACAATGTGACATCCGAGGTAGTTCTAAGGCCTAAACCAAATGCCGAGTCGTTAGATAGAAGAAAAAAGCCATTCTTGTCGATCCAATTCATTTGAGTTCCTTCAAAACCCGGCTCAACAGATTTCGAAGAGGAAAAGGGTAGACAGTGCAAAAAATCTCAGCAAACGAACATAACCCTCACTTCCCATTAGAAAACTCCCCGGTTGAGAATCAAAATAACCCAGAAAGAAAGAAGAAAATATGTAGAAAATAAAAACAGGGCTTCTAGGCAAGCATAATTTCTGGGTTCCGGGAAATCAAAAGAAAAAAAGTAATCATAAAGTCGAAGAAAGACCAGCTTATAGGATAGGATCGAAAGAAATGAAGAGAATCAGAAATGGGAAAGACAAGTTGGCAAGTGATGGGCACTCCTCATTTGACCATGAAATGGAACGTACAAAAAGTCCCGACCGACTAGAATCGATGGATGCTCTTCACCTGGCCATGAAAGGAATCCTTTTTTTTTTTGGTTGCTGGATACAGCATTAAAACGAGAAGCAAACCCAGAACTCCCCTATTTACATAAGCAACTAATTATGAAGGAGACACTGAAGATGAAAGAAGAGGGGTAGCTCGCAGCCACTCACCACGTTTTGTTGAATGAGATTTGAATAAACAAGTGGATTTGCGTACATGGGTCTCTGGCTTATTCCTAAATCTGTTTCTGCTTCTGTCACGGAGTTGAAGAGAGATCTGAGCTCCCTTAAAAGCTGTTTTATTTTTTTTTCTAAAATTTATTTTTTATTGTCTTAATTATAAAATAAGTGTCATGATTATATTAATTTTCACTGTTAAAACTTTTTTTAATTATTAAAGTGTTTAACATTATAAACATTATCATTTTAGATGTTCGGAATGTAATGATCATTAAAAATATTATATTTATTTTAAAAAATTATTTTTCTATTACAAAAAACTTCAAATCCCTAAAAATTTAAAATCTCTTAACCTTACTCTAACCTTTCTTACCGGCGACGACGACGACGATCTTCCTAGTTGGTTGTTGTCTCTCTTATCATCATGCGTGTCGTTAGAGTATCTGGGTGTTGCGAATTTAAGGATTTGAGTTTGTTTGAGACATGAATTTGGGTTACAACCTTGTCATTTCCTTCGTCGAAGACGCGACGTTTACGATCATGTTTGGCTTGTTGTAGGATTGAGGCCCGATCGAACTTAAACGACGATCGATGTGGGTTTAGGAAATGAAGTTTTCAAATCTTTTAGGGTTCTTTTTAAGTTTTTTTAAAAGCTTGACTTTTTTTTTAAATATATAATTTTATTTTTTTAATAATTTTTTAAGAATTATCAAAACATGACATGCACAACTTAACGGTCGTTATGACTCGAGCACCTAAAGTAGTAATATTTATAATATTAGATCCTTGGATGATTAAAAAAAATGTATGAGCACCTAAAGTCGGGTCGAGTCAGAATTTTTTACATTAAACTCGAACCCGACTCAAACTCACATTTTTTTTAAAATAAAAATCTGATCCGATCGACTGTCCCCAAACATATCCATTTGATTTATTATTTAAAAAAAGACACGTGTGCAAAGATTGAAGAGGGATTGGGGCATTTGGTTTGTTTGTTTGTATTAAATTGAACGAGGAGGAGTTGGGTGGTGCGTGAGTGGTGAAAGGGAGTTAAATGACAATACCCCATCGGGACATTATTTTATTGCCGAGTGGGTTCTAAAGGCAAAGGTGTTAATCGGTCTGGTTCGATATTTATATCTCTTGAATTAGGTCAGGTCGAATCAGGTCTCAAATAAATTTAAGAGTATAAAAATTATTCGAATTCAGATTAAATTTCAAAGGATAAATTACATAAATGATAGTTTAATTATTAAAAAAAACTTAAATTTATTTTGATTTTGAACCTCAAGATTTTTGAAAAATATTTTTATAGTTAGAATCTTAAAAAAATATCTTTAGGTACAAAGTCTTGAAAAAAACTTATATACCTCTAGCAAAATCACAACGTTTTAACATGATCTTTAATTTACTTAAGTGATTCGTCATAATTAAAATAAATTAGTGACATATATATCTACGAGACCTATAAACTTACAAGTAATCATAATAATCTTAACGTCTGATAAGTATTACTGTAAAATCTCTCGATAAGACTTAAACAAGGGATATAAGATCATTCCCCGCTTATTCCATTATCCTTTTATTTATGGTAAGAACACATGATTTAAATACTCGTCAATAATCAAACGATTATCAATTGCGATTTTCGTCTAAATTATAATGAATGACATACCAACGGTCGATATTACACATTTATTCATGTTAACAGATTATTTATTTAAATGATAACATTCAATTTATTTTCCTTTAAAAATTAATATAATTATATATTTGATCTTTATTATTTATATCTTATGAATTCGATCTTAATTTTAATTTAATAGTGGTATTAAAAATAATAATTTAAAAATGAAATGATTTTAAATAATTTTTGAATTAATGACCTGCTCCAGACTCTCTGGTTTTTTTCTTCTTTTAGGAAGCAAATATTTGTAGGCCATATCCAATTATCCATGCCTCGTGAATTAGAACACATCACGTGCAATTGCATATAAATACAAGTCACGAACTTTATTCTATTGCAACTTGGCATGTTGTAATTGTCACATGACCAAAAGTTTATGTATATATTAAAGATGGATAGAGCGAATGGAGGTCATCGTCATAGGCGAATGCAAAACTTTATGTTAAGGGTTTAATTTGAATTTATAAAAATTTTAAGGGGACGGAATTAAACTTAAAAAATTATTGGGAGACAAAAACAAATTTTCAATAGAAAAAAATCTAAAACTATATGATGATTTTAAATTTTCAAGGGCGGAACCGTCTCCATCCGCTCCCACCAAAGTCCATCCCTAGTTCAATGATAGTTTCCATTGAGAATATGTTGTCTTTAGGTTTAAATAAATTCCAAATGAAAACCCACTTAGTAAAAACTAAGCAAATTCGGTGGTTAAGAGATTTATTGTTATTTATTGAATTTTCAAGTTTGAGCACCATACATATTAGGAATACGAGCGTTCAATGTCAAATAATTTAAAATATTTGAATAAATATTACATTATATTTACCTCAGGTTTATAAAAAAGATTTAACCATAGGTTAAACAAAATGCAATGAAACATTGAATAATAACTATCATGTTATTGAATAATAACTATCATGTTAATGTTGTGAAATGTCATATCAACACTTTGAATCGCTACGGTAATATTATAATGGTCAATGATGAAAATTGTCATGTTTTTAAAAAAAATTAAAAGTTTAAGTACTAAAACGGATAAAAATGATAATTTAGGTATTTAACACATTAAGTTTTTAATAATGACGTACTAAAATAAAATGAAAACTAAACATTAAAATATATTTAAAAAAAATTTGAAAAGTTCAAATACTAAAACACATAAAAACTGATAGTTTATAATTTACCTTAAATCTTACAAACAACTGTATCTATATTATATGTGTATTATCAATGATTAAAAAAATCATGAACAAATGTTATTCTTATCTCATATTGTTTAAAAATAATAGACAAAAGGGCATAAGAGGTCCATGTACTTTGGGGAAAAGAAAAAACTAATGTGTCATGTTATTTTTTTTCTCTCAATGTGATCATTTGATCAACGTTTTTCGTCGTTGAACGTTATAGTACTGACATGGTGATCCACGATGCTGACGTGACAGTCTATCTTTCATTTTTGAGTTACCAATTTAGACAATATGTCATTGTCATCCGCCATGTTAATCTGCCACCTTAGACTATCATGTTAACAATGTAAATTGTCACGTCAACACTGTGAACTGTCACATCAACATCGTAACAACTAATGATGGAAAAGCATTGGTCAAAGGACCGCGTTGGTTTATTTTATGAGTCGGAGGATCACATTGAGAGAAAAAATAATACAAATATCACATTAATTTTTTCTTCTTCAAATTACAGGGACCTTTGATGCCTTTTAACCAAAATAGTAATAAAATAAAATTTTATTTTTGTATAAAATGACTATGAATTTCTTCTCGAATTTGAACTAAATTTAGTCTGAGTGTGACATGAGCCAAGTGGCCTCAGTCATAAAAAAAAAATCGTCGTTATTCCTAACCACCTGCCATGGATGCATACGAGATATTCATGTCGACATGACATCATAACATGATGTTCGTCTAACACAAAGATACGTATTACATAAATGCAAAAATGTGATACCGATGAGGGTCGCAGTTGATAAAGGCTTTTGCTTGGTTTGAAAGAAAGACTTTTTGATAACCCTTTTGAAAAAGAAAGGTTTTTTGCTCAAAAGCAATGCATAAGGTTATCCTATAAACCTTTTGAAACTTTCAACTAGTTGTATGAAATTATTGGATATTTTTTTAGTTTTTGAATACTTTTAGTCCTTATATGAAGATTCAATCCTTAAATTGTGATGGTTCTAAAGTATGATAAATTAAGCATTTAATACATAAATTATCAACTTTGATATGTTTTAATATTTAACTTCTAATTTTTTAAAACCATAATTAATATTTAATTTTTTTTATTTTAGTACCACCGTTAAAAAATTAACACGTTTAGTACATAAACTATTAATTTTAGAATATTTTAATACCTAAATTTGTATTTTTTTTTCAAAACTTATGGTTAAATTTTAAACGGTGTATTAAAATAAAACAAAAACTGATATTTTTAGTGACGGTTTTAAAATGAAACAAAAGCTAAACTTTATGTATGATTTTGAAAAAAATTAAAATTTAAATACTAAAACAGTAAAAATTGATAGTTTAAATACTAAACGTGTAGTTTACACTTTAAAGTATGTTATTTTTCTCCTTGGACCATTTAGAGACTATTTTTCATCAACAGAAAGGTTGTGAAACTTGATGAAACCAAGATAGAAAAAAAGAGATTAGTATCTGAACCCACTACCTAATCCAAAACGCAAAACGGGAAAAAATGTCACTCAGTAGTTAAGGAGGGATGATTGTTATCTCGAGAGATTTCGGTTTAGTACGTAGTCTGTAGAGGTGTTTGAACATTCATTATTAAATGATTGTCTTTTAAACGTATACTACTTTATAATCACGTCACGCTAAGCGGAATCAATCACACAAAAAAGCCTATGGCTAAGTTTATATTCTCATTCTTTTTGCAGTTAACTGTTTTTCAGGGGTGAGTTTTTACCAAATGTATATTGGAGCAGACAGATGGAAAGGTGTATTAAGAGTGAACATGATACACCTATATTTCTACAAGCAGTACGATATGGTTCATGCGTCTCTTCGGTCGTTTTGTTGGCGATTCCCTCATCGAACTGAACTCGTTCGAGTATAGCAGCTCAAACGATTCTTGCAACATTTTAACTCACAACTTTAACTCGAAAAGAAGGCAAAAAAGGGAAAGAGCTTCAGTAGCACATACTCACCAAGACAGTGCCAATGGTCTTAAGGAACAGTCTAGGATCCTACACGCTTCATTCTTCCGGTTAAATCGCAGCAAGGAGGCTTTGGCGGCAAACAAAATTGCTGATTGACTGGTGGACCGTAAACTGTCTTTCGTTTGCTCAATGTTGTTGCATCTACATTCATGTGTCCACCTTCAACGCTCCATTCGTTTGAGGATGAGCTCAAGGGGGCATCTCCGTTGCTCCTTGGAAAGGATGATAAACTTTTATCAATTGGTGGTGTCAGATGATTGAACTTGTTCCACTCCAGAAAGGTGGAACCACTTTTTTCGATTTCCTTGGGCCGACTGTTTCCAGCACTCAGGCAAGGTGATGAAAGAGGGCCCAACCGCAACGATAGATCACAGGAAATTTCGTGTTGATTGGTAGACGTATTTGTAACACCAGTGTGGTTCATCTTATTTGAAGAGTCCACATCAGGAGAGAAGATGTTAAGAATTACACCCGTCTCAGCGGGATCTACTGTGTTAGAGAGTGACTTCGGGGAGATTCCATAGCTATGCTGCAGTTCTTCAACTTTAACGAGGTTCCCATAGAAAAGAGGATAAACCGAAAACATACTTGTAGCACGCTTCTCCTCATTACTAGGAAGAGGACCGTTCTTAGATGGAAAAGAAAACTTGTCAGTGGTTCGGTCACCGTTCTGAGCAACATGTTTCTGAACTCCAGTGCCTATATGTGCCACATTCATGGTTGAATGTCTCATGAAGCTGGAATAACTAGCCATGCAGTGTGAATTAGTCAAGAGATTTCCTTGAGTAGTGTTCTCTGCTTCTTGAACGCCCGGGTTAAGGTAACACCTCGGACTGCAATTTCGTTGGCTCCTCAAAGTTCTTCTTGCAGTGCAGCCCAAATTAAGAGCAGCTAACCAACAACAATATATATATATATATATATTAAATCTCAGAAAAAAGGGTAAATTCTCTAACCAACGGCAAATTAAGTGCTCTTCATAATTAAAGCCAGAAACAAAGAACCAATAGTAAAGATGCATTATTTGGCTTCAATTTCAAACAGAGAAAATTAGGCACAAAATTGACAGAGTACCTTCAATACAAGGTTGAAGAAACTCTCCAGTTTCGGTACTCTCATCACGTCTAATGATCGTGTTAATGGCATCATTGGTTCGATCCCAGAGGGTTTTAATGTCCATGTACTCAGCCTATGCAATAATTAGAACGCAGAAAATATGAGCTTGACATAATCAATCCCATCCCATTCCCTAGAGAAGATGAGAATACTATAAAAATGTGAAAGTTTTAACTCATCAATTGGCAAAACAACATAAAATATCATGATCAAGGCGTACCTTTTCAGCAAAACTTAACATGGCACAGCAGATGAGGAGAAACAGTGCTAAATTTCAACAAAAAAAGTGCAGAAATTTACCTCGGAATTGGCTTTAGAATACAAAATTTCTTCTGCTTTTAAGACAACAACAGGGAGCTTCTCTTGCCACTCCTTGTTCTTCTTTGTTGCTGAGCTATGAATCTCATTTACAACTCTAAAAAGGTTCAAGTACATATAAAAAGTAGTAGTGAGAAACTAAGACTACCAAATAGAAATACGTACAAATCAAGAGAGGGGAAAGACCTGAAAATTTCTTGAATGAGAGAACCTCTCATGGGTTGGTGTTTATCACTGTGCCAAGCTCTTCTCTCGCAGACATAAGGTCTTGGACCAGGTCTAGGCATCTTCAATGATTCCTTTTACTGAAGAAGAAAGAATAGGGAAAAGAAAAAGCCCTTTGCTTCTTCAAAGGCTTTGCCTCTGTCAAGGCCACCAGGCTCTATAGAAACTTGTTGTGTAGCTCTATTCAAAGCTTATGCTTTTTGGTTTTCCTTTTGCATACACCGACCCCCATATACAAAATACAGCACTGTAGCAAACGAAAAAACATTAAGCAGCAAAGGGGGGGGGGGGAGGGAGAAATAAAAGATAATGGGGGGGGGCTTCCTTTTTCTTTCTCTTCTGTCAGAAGCTCAATCATTTCAATTGATGAGTTTTGGTGTGTCCCCCATCCATCCACATGCCTGTTTCCCCCATCCCCAAGAGTCTCTCTCTCTCTCTATACCTTTTTTTCTATAAAAAACATTTCTTTCCAATTGTTTATTATTTTGGCTGCCTTTTTACTACAATATCTTCTTGTCCTGACCATACATTCAAAACCTACAATGGGTAGTGGTGATGGGGTTGAAGATACATACATACATGTTTTGAGGTTTCATACAATACATCGTATTGTGTTTAGGGTAAGATAAATGAGTTTGCTGAAAGGAATATGAGAGCAAATTGGTAAAGGAACCAAAGAGTAATAAACAATGGAACCCACATTGTAAAAAAGGATGAGAAGATTGGTGTTAACTTTAAAATTGGGTGATGAATGTCTCTGTTGCTGTAGCAAATGCACCTTCCATTTTTAGCTCAGTACTTGATGGTAGCATTTACTGCCATCAACACTTGTCGGCTCGATCCACTCCAATCCATAGCCACTTTCGCTTGGATCCTTTAAATGGATTACTATTACTAAAAAGGTTTATAAGTTAGAAAACTTATCTCATTTCAATGTTCTAGTTTATATTAAAAATGGTATTTATGAATCACTCATTAATTAAATAAAGCTGTTGGTACTCATACGACCCCATCTAATTTTTCAGGGTAAACTACGTAATTAATAACTAAATTATCAATTATGTCTATTTTAGCACCTATACTTTTAATTTTTTAAAATCATACTTAAATTTTAATTTTTGTTTTATTTTAGTACCCACCGTGTACATAAACTTTTAATTTTTTCAAGATCATACTTAAAGTTTAGTTTTTGTTTCATTTTAGTACCCACCGTTAAAAGCTTAACGCATTTAATACATAAACTATCAATTTTGGCTCGTTTTAGTACATAAACATTCAAATTTTTTTTGGATAAGTAGAATTTTATTTATCCAAAAGGAAGCAGCAAACTGCTACAGAAAAAACAAGGCAAACTGCCTAAACCAGTCCCCAATTTAAACATAACCTCCTATTAACATCATCCACCCTATTCATAAAACATCTATACAATTTAATTCTAACAGCCTCTCTAATTCTATTTACAATTACCTCAGTCAAACGAATCAAACCCCTAAAATGCTTGTGATTACGTTCCTCCCAGAGAAAGTAAACAAAACCAATCCACGTCAGCTTAAGGATATGAACAAGAAGGATATTCGAAATCAACCAGCACAGGGCATCATCCCAGCTATTTAGCGTCTGAGGTTGGAGATCACACTCTCGCAGAATAACATTCCATATCTCCCTTGCACAGGAGCATTCCAAATAAACAGATGGTTACGAGTTTCCATATTACCAGCACACAGTCCGCATACATTATCATTCCCTATGCCAAATCGAGTTAATCTATATTTGATTGGCAATCTATCTAGAATCACCATCCATGCAACAATAGATAATTTAGGGATATGAGATGGAAACCATATGAGTCTATGCCATGCAACTTTGTCTCTTCTAGCATGAATGCCAAATCCAGCCACCTTTGATCTGTGGCCAGATAACAACCGAGCTAAACAGCCTCCTAGCCTCATCCCTCAATTTTTTTCAAAATTTAATCTTAAATTTTGAATATGGTACTAAAATGAAATAAAAACTAAATTTTAGATATGATTTCAAAAATTTTAAAAGTTTAAATACTAAAACGAATCAAAATTGATAGTTTAGGTATCAAATGGTAATTTACCCCTTTTTTATCAAAGTGTAATGAGCCCAGCCCAAAAAGCTCGTATCTGGATTCGAAAGTTAACTCCATTAGGCCTGGCTGTACGAAATAGACCCAACAGGGGCTGCTCAAATCGCATCGCATCGCATTGTTTTCCTTTTCCTTTTTTGTATTAAAGTGTTTCGAAGATGGGAGTGATTCAACTGAGTTGCAGTGAAAGGGAATGTTGATTTTAAAAAATCAACATTATACGAACAGTGAGGGAAAGAAAAATAGTTTTGGTTAATCAAGCCCGAATAACATTGAGCTGTTTCAAAAGTCTTAGGCGACGAAAATACAATAAAGATATGAATGTCAATAACATTCCAATATTTGATCCTATCCCGGCTTTTGTGCAGAGCATTGAGGAACAACATCATATAATCTCAAAACAAATGCCAAAAAAGGGGAAAGAAGAACTAGAAAAGAAGATAACAAATGCAGGCAATGAACCATTCATGTGGAAAAATCAGTAAGGAGTGTAGTAATACCCAGGTGGTGGCACCGTTCCGTTAACGGGCGGCATTCCATAAGGCATTACCGGCATTTGTCCAGGTCCATAATATCCGGGATTAGGGTTAATCTTAGCCAAACTAGCTTGACCTTGCATTCCATTCTTTGCATATTGCTGCCATACCTGCTGTTCCTGGACAAGCAGATGTTGCTTCTTTTCCATGTCGGCCATTTGCACATATGAAGGAGGTGGAATGGTCAATGACGCAGCAAATGGGTCTTGATTGAAGTTCTGAACCGTCCCATCTGGTGCAGGAAGAGCTAAAACCTGTGTCTTTCCTGGCATTGGCAATGCCACACTACTGGCACTCCCACCACTCAAGTGAGCAGTGCTGACCTGCTGCCTTACCATTCCCTGATCATACATGCCATTCAACAATAATGGATCAAGCCCACCACCCAAAGCTGCCTTTTGCCTCGATAAATTACTAGCTGACTCAACCAAAGCCAATTCCCAATCTGCCTTCCCTGGCTCAGCAGCCGGGGTTTGCCAAGCAGAAGTCACTTCAGGCTGCCCATTTGATGGGAAAGCTTCCCATGATCCATTATTAGCTGCAGGACCATTAAACAAAGCCAAAGCCAATTTGTTTCCCTGATCATCAGCTGTAACACCGTCATCCCTCAAATCCACTAGATCTTTTTGCGGTTCTGGAGGTTTAACAGGCTCCGGCTCTGGAGGTGGTGATGGAGTGTAATTCTCAGGTGGAGGTAGCGCCTTTATTTCATTCATATCTGGCTCAGGCTCCTCCTCTTTAGGTGGAGAAGAAGCTCCTTCCCTGGACTCTCTGGTCTCTTAGCCCTATCCCTCAAAACTCCTCCGTGTCAAACAACTTACCCGTATCCTCTGCACCTCAGGATACTCTGATGATCTAGCCACACCCATATCCTTGCAAAAATTATAAAATGCAACCAACTCATCAATCTGCTTTGCTGCACTGGCATATGCATCAAACGCCTTAACACAATCAGGGTACTCCATATCAAAAAATCTATCGAGCAACACAGCCAAAACCTCACAAATATCCGCATATAACTGAAACTCTCTTTCACCACAGGATACAAAGCAATCAAGATCATCCTACTATTCTTAGCCAATCCTGTAGGCTGACAAGACAAGAACCGATCCAACAACCTCTGCAAATGACCCATCTTCCCGAAAATCCTCTCAGGCTTCATTTCCCTCAATGGGGTCACAGTTTGCTTCTCCTCTCTCCCATCTCTCTTGACTGCCTCACTCGTATCACCATAAGACCTCGTTCTCCTGGTCATCCCATAATTTCCATACTCATTATTATCACCTCTGAAATCTCCATAATCATACTCGTGCTGCCTTGGTAGTGGTGGTAACAGGAAATTGTCTCTTCCACTGTATCTATCATCACCATTTCCATATCTACTACCCCCAGCACCACTTCCACCGCTGCCGCTTTTCCTATCGAAAAGTATCAATTCAAGCCTTTGATCTAAATACATAGAATAGGTTCTTACAAAAGCAGAATGATCCCAAGAACTCGAGTGAGCCTCGTCTCTAAAATCCGACATATTCAACAATCTCGTACCTTTCCTCGTAGCATACAAGATCTCTTCTTGAAACACCGGATCTCCATCATTCATCAGCCTGTGAACAAGCACCAGTGCTTTAAGTGCCACGATCCAGTCGCGTGTCTTCCCTAACCGTTTTGACACCGCTGACACACAAGCGTTCACGTATCCGCGTGAGTACGAGGTCAATTCAAGATCTCCCGTAGTATTTCTCGTCTGCAGGATCGTCGTCGTGGCTCGTTGCTTTCACGACAGCCACCTCGAGGTCCGGCGCCATGTTACTCGCTACCTTGGCTATTCCAATGCTCGTTTGGTCTTTAACAGTCCCGATGGCTTTCCGAATCGTACTGGACATCTTTACCGTTTGATTTCAACCGAACTCAGCCCCCTTTCTTCTTTCCAAACTGATCCAACGGTGAGTTTACTTAAATTTTCAGCTTTCAACTCCAAAAGCAAAAAAACTAAACAAATTTTAACCAACTCTAATTAAGATTAATCAGACCATTAAAGAAGTCTAAACATGAACGAGGAAAATGTTATTTTAAATAAATATACCTTCTAGATCTGCAATGCAAGGAAATAAGACCGGTAAGTCAAAACGGCGACGGATCAGTTGATTTTTTTTAAAGCGAAGAAAATCGGCGATGGATTCTTCAACGTAAGAAGAAGCGGTGCGGCGGAGCGGAGGAGTGGCGACGTGGAGAGATCGGGGCCTTTCAGATGGATGGAATGAAAGAGATCTGGCTGTTATCTCGGCATCATGTCTCGTCTAGTCTCTCGTGGGTTGAACTTCTGTTCACCGACCGAAAAAATGGAAAGAGAGAGAGAGAGATTGGGTTTTGATTAGATGCTTTGCGGGACTTATTTAAATATGCAATTTGCACAAGTGTCTACTACGCGTACTGTTTACGGTGATGCCGACATTTTTCTCTGGACAGTGGGCGGGGGATTTGTTTATATTCTATTTTTGGTTTTCTATGAATTCTAAATTGGTTAAATCATTAAGGTGCTTAATGTTGAACCATTTAGCATTCGGTTTAGCATTTACTTT